CCCTAAACCCTAAACCCTCACTTTTGAAGGCTTTGGGTTGCATCATTGAAGGAATCGGGGGCTTGGGCTTTCGGAAGTAGCTGGGGGGCATGAAAGCGGGCTGCGACATAGAAATAGAAGTCTTCTTCCTTGGGGGCTTCCTGAAGTGACCCTAGTATAGAGACCCCAAAGCTAGTTGTTGTTGGGGTTTCGGCATGTCTTGTTGCTATACAAGCTGACATTTTAAACGGGTTGCTAGACGCTCGAGCAGCCAATACGCATGCGTGTGTGTGCGTGCCGTAGGCCCCAAAAGAGCCCCTGACAAAGTTTGGAAAAGCACTCGGCCCATCCCCGGTAGCTCAGGACTACCACCACGGAAGAGGAGGAGCGACATGAGCTTGAAATGCTGACAGCAGCAGCACAGAACCAAAGCAGCAGGCATCTGCAACCAAATTACTTCACGAGCAGTGGCAGTTGCAGCAAGAGTTGGAGTAAGAGAATTATAGCAGGGGTGGTTGTTGCGTCGCAGTGCGAGCACTAGCACATGGTCGGCGAGCATACTGCCAGGCAGTCATGTCTACCGGGTACCGTGAGTCCTAGAATGACATCGACACCCCTCCCTCGGATCCTGTATGATATGGGAACCTTATCGCAGAACATCATTCCCGTAATACCTCTTTAGACTATGCCTGTTTCGTTCGGCACGACTCCAACCGCATCATCGGCTCTACCAGGTGATTACTAAGGCCCCTATATTAGCAATTGCTTCATCCTTTCCAAAGCCTACAAGACCTCAGCATTGGTTCGGTCATTAGAAATACGAGCTTGGGGGTATAACAGAAGGTATAGTCATAAGAAGGGACCCGAAAGAATGGCATTGGTAGTTATTTAGGCTCCTGAACTCTTAACCCTAAACCCTAAAACCCTTAAACCCTAATTCCCTAAGCCCTAAACCCCCTGTAGCATTCTGAAGCCCAGCTGCCAAGCTGCCAGGAGCCCCAGTCTACTCAGCCAGCCACGACCACCACCGCTCGGACCGAGGGTTTGGTATTTCAGATTTTCTCGCATGGCTCTAGGGTTTAGGGTTTAGGG